CCAGGCTTTTTAGAAACAAAAATGCATTACTGAATCACTTATTGCATTTTTTAATTTATTGACTATAAACACGATGGAATCAAACACAATGTAGTTATGTTGTTCAAATATTTGTAAAATAACGTTGCCAGAATATTGTTATAACATAAGCACTACATGGGTTGATTGGTACTATCATTTGGAAAATATGTATACTAACCAAGATGGATTAATTTCAAGTAATTTCGAATATTTTGTTATGAATTTCTCATCGAACACTGTAACAAAAGGTCATGTACAAATCGGGTTAGAAATTATTTTATTTACCATTGTTGCTCTTATGGATCATGCATTTTTAAGTACGGTAGGTAAGTGTTTTACTAAAATTATCGATAAAACATCCACGTGTAACAGTTCTACAAGCAGTTTATGAAGAAACCGGACATGCTATCATCGCACGTCCGTTTTTGTTCTTAGGTGTAGTGAGTAGTGACGACTCTAGATGGCTCTAGACGGATAAAGGGCGATGGCTCGTATTGTTTTACACAATAAACCTTCCAAGAATATGGCGGCCGCGTCTTCGTACTTAAATGCTTTATTGCGTGACGAAAACGAGGTTTTGCGGGGATTGCCATGTACGTTTTATTGCGAGAGATGAGACTTTTTGTCTATAATCCGTCGAGTTTTTTTATTTTTATATCTAAAGTTATTTTTATTTAGAACTAGTGAGAAAAATTATTATAATAATACTCGTAAGTCATAACGTTATCGTGGTGTACACTATCAATAAAGATAGAGTCAACCTGTAACGTCTCGACAACTTTTTTATCATATAAAAAACCCTTTAACCCTTGGGTATATTAAAATGTGAATCATTGTTTGGAACAAAATAATATTATAGTTTACCATAGAGTAAATGTTTATTTTATTATTCCATCGAATAATACTCTTTTTTATGTACTGTAATACATATTATTTTTTTAAATTTCTAGTCCAAAGTGCAGAGTTACATTTTCAACGTTCAACTTTTATCAATTATGACTCGTCGACTATGGGGAGTAAAAAACCATTTAATTCACTTTTTGTTTTAAGTATAATTGGCTTATAATCTATGTCAAACTGTGAGTAGGGACAGTCCGAAAAGTAAAGTTCATTGTGGCGATTCTCATGACGGTCAATTGTGGTAATTGTATTACATTATATCAGCATCTGAATTAGTCTAGCCCTAAAAACCAACGGGTTCAGAAGTCCGACCCATTCGTTACTAAATTATTTGAAGTATGGAAATACCGTAACTTCGGAGGTCTCCTACTATAATTATTCTTTGCCCTCTTTATTTCAGTATGAACGTGGTTCTGGCAGACTCATTTGTTTTTAGCCCAGCTGTTTGTTATTGGAAATGTTTTATAAATCAAACGTACATAGTAAATTAAAATCCATGCAATAAGCGTAAAACAGTTATTATTATATATTACATTAACTATTATTTGTGAAAATATCTTATCACAAACGTGCGCAACTCTTATACTAAATGGCCTATAGCAAATTTCCTATTTCCGTGTTAATGATCAAAATCGTTTTTATTTCAATGGCAATAGTTCTCGGTTAATTAAAAAAAAACACCTAGGTATAAAATTCCTGAACTTGCCCAAATATAAGGCAGTAATAGTTGTATCATAAAGATTTTTTTCTTCGCAACCATAAACATATAATAATCTATTCGTATATTAAGTAAAAGAAAAAAGTTAATAGCTAAAGTCTAATGGTGTTTTCTATAAGTCAAAAACAAATATATGTAGTCATAGTATATCTGTTTTCTCTGTAACAAAAATCGAAATGTACAGATTGTTTTTATTTTTAAGTGTTAAAATGTTATTTTTGAGAAAATATAATTTTTTTTTTCATAGGTATTAGTTGAACAAACAATTGTTACACGTAGTTTCGAATATTATTTACTAATGTCTATTAAAGTGTTCTTATAGCTTTTAATTTTATTATTAAACAACCAGACTGTTTATCTTTACTCGATTCTATTTTTCATAATTTAAACGCTTAATAAAAAATGATTTATTAAATTAAATGTTGTATATTGCTGTTGGTTTAAAGTCAACTGTAATTACACAAGTAATTGCTTTATATAAAGCGTGTATTTACGGAAAGTGTTCAGTTATCGCAGATATAAACAGTAGTAATAAAATTAAATATATTCATGAAAATTAAAAGTAAGAATTTAATGCATTATTTTTAAACAACAACAAACAAATATGTATGTACAATGTACATAATATATTTAAAAGGGATTAATAATAAATGAATCTAGTATTATGTTTGCTTTAAGAAAATATTTGAAGTAGAATAAATAAAAAAACAATTTGCTAAAACTTTGCTTGTTCATAAAAAATTATGCTCGCCACCGTTTCACCTTGAGGTGGTCAACTTCCGACGATTATTCCGATTTAACCCCAATTGTATTCTCCAAATAGCTTAACTAGCTCAATAATTCCGGATTCCCTCCACTTATTATAAACTGAATATATTATTTATAGTATTATAATTGAAATTGCGTGTGTGGCTCAATAAATCTTTTTATTCAGGCGCAACCATTGAGCTGAATTGTATTTACTTAATCCCCAACTCGAGTGCTGCACCAACGGTACGACCTCGTCAACGCCATAGAAAACATTTTGTACCTATGTTTTTTTGTATCCAATGGATTATTTAAACATTTGTAGAGTGGTTTCTCGTGTTTAAGAGTACGTCACACCACCTGTATTTTTTACCGAAAATCTCGTTGTGCGGGAGACAAGGTTTTTTGAGTTGTAATAAAGTTCAAGCTCTAAATTAAGATTTACCGAAAAATTGTCTATACTTTACTTCTTAGAAATGGGCAGTGTGGCGTCCTCTTAAATAAACTATATACTTAATTATCAAAGTAATATCTTGTAAGACCTAAATACAAAAGCATTTATTCTAATTTGAATTTGAAATACCATTGAACAAATATTTGCATTGGGCATGACATAAAATTGATTATTAGTATTACAATATGAATAGACTTTTTTTTACCTATCAACAAGTTTGTACTTTGCCATAATTAGGCACTTTTTTTGTAATCGTGTTTATATTTAAACTATTAATGCTATAGGCTAACATGTGCTGGGCTTATAACAGATTATTATGACGTATTATATTATACTCGTACCAGTACTAAAGTTGTATGCGATACAATGCGTCTATGTATCGAAATTGCCTATCTTATCCGCCGTCTTACATGTTTTTAATAAAATGTCATGGACATGTAATATAATAAAAACTCAATATTTTGCCATCAATTTTATAAATCGATAATGATTCAAACTACTATTAGACCATTGTGATGACCATTAGTAAATTATTTTAGTGTTATAACTCTATGTAACTTCGTCCGTATTGTGAAATCTTGTTCGGTCATTTTTGAATAATTTAATTTATTCGATACACCTTATCTATAATTACCACTATTCGCATTCAAAGCGTTAATTTGGCTGGATTTTGAGTGTAGGTCGATTGTATGGATATTTTATCTTATAAGTTATGTTAAAGTCATTGACCTGGTCCAAAACTGTTTGCTGGTATTGTCGGAGTTTTTCTTGAAAACAGCATAATATCCCATCTCACGTTTTTAGACTAGTTGCTCGTGTGTAACGGTTAAGCACTTTGCCCAACAAGTGGAGAGATTTTCATGTATAATTCATTACAGGTCTAGCCAATGACAAACACGATGCTTTTATAGACTTCATGAGCATTTTACTTTTCGAGTCAACCAATGGTCGAGTTTGTGTAACTTGCTTGTTCAGTAATATATTTACCATTAAATGAGTAGCTACTTAATTGGTAAAGAAATGTAAGCGGTTAATGAAGATCTTGACATTTTTTCAATATAATTCATTGGACGTCTTTTCGTTTAATTAATTTATTATGTATTACAGCAGTTTATATTTTACATAACTATTGCAATTCGCTGCAATAATTGTTTAAAAATGCAACGAATGAATAAATAAAAGACAATAATTTACACTACCTTAAATATTTGGTGAAAAAAATTAAAAGCAGTTTTTAATAACATCTAATAGGCACGTGTAACTATACCTACACTTACTAACTTATATAATTGTTATACAAACGAAACACGTTTGTGACTCAAAAATTATTTTCAGTTCTAAACGCGACATGCGTATTATTATACTATAAAGTCGGTCAGTGAGTAATGCTATTGTAATGGGCAAGTTCAATACAATGTTCAAACTTTAATTAAAAAAGAATGGAATACGGTGATAATGTCATGACCCCAGTTAACGAACTAATTTAATATCGAGATCAGTTTTGGCATTGACGCCGCTTTCGGGTAAAATACATCAAAATGTAGTTTTAATATTGTGACGTAAAAAGTTAATTAATAAATGTATGAATACTCGGAATGAACGTATATTTTGTTAATATGTTCGTCCCTAGATTATTTTATCAGAATGTCAAGAAAATACAATAACATGCGTTTATGACTGTCATATTTAATAACGTAAATTTAAATAATTACTCAGTATTCATTTAAATCTACTTGTCTACTTTTTTTTCCCCTTTGTCTCTAGTCATATTCGAAATTTTATATAATATGTACATTGCGTTTCGACTCCCAACTTACACATTAAAAAGGCAACCTCACACACTTGATACAATACAGTAATGAAAAACCATTGTGTTGAGTGAACACCTGTATTCCTTTCATAAAGGACAATACAATGGTGTTTCAGGCCATCGCATCATTTTATCTCTCGAAAATACCCTTTCTGACAATATACCTATTTTGTAAAAATGATTGCGGTTCTGGGCTGCATTGTAAGATGCTTTTTAGTCCTTTGACAAAAGTTCAAGATAATGGTATTCTCGGAAAACAGAATTTTGTATAAATTTTAATTTCCATTAAAGTAGTAACATAATATTATAGTATATTTTAATAATTATTAAATATTTTTTTTATTTTACAGGTAAACATGGACATTCTTCAGAGCAATTGTGTGCAGCTAGACAAGTAATTTTCTATGATATGTAAATTTATTAAATATTTTTGTATCAGAAAAATTATAGGTATATTTATAGACAATATTAAAGGAGGCAGAAAATAAATAATTCCGTATGTTTTCGAAGGCTTATATTAATAGATATTTTGAAAGTGTATTATGGTATGAAAATCATGGTGCATAACTAATTATTGTTTGTGCAGAGCTCATAAATTGTACCGATTTTCTTTAAAATTAACCATAATAAATTTGATTACATGACTTGAAATATAATACCCTTTCTTTTGTTTATAATGAGCTATTGCATACACACAGTAACTTTTTGACTCACTGAATAAAACAATTTCAATACTTCAAAGATAAATAGTTATTTTTTTTCTTTTATCTATGAATATCAAAAGTAGATACATAAAATCATGAATTATTTGTTTTTACCTCAATTATAACACCTAAAAACTGAGAATTATGCATAATGTATCTCATAGAAGAATGTAATTTCTTTGTAGACATAATAAGAATTCACCTTTCTTGTACACACGCATAAATAGTTTGTTAACAAAGATCATTCATTGAAACCAAAGAGACATAAACTCCAATTATAAAGAAAACTGTACATGACGTTAATTATTGTCTTAAACTTTATTCTTGTATACATTTTTTATGTAGATTGATTTTTGCAACTGTTATGTCATTTGTGACTTTTATACTTCGAAAACAAGTAATATTACTATAAAGTGTAATTATTCATCATATTTTTTAGACTCTAAATGAGCTTATAGTAAAACTGTGTGATATATTATTATTATAATCAGATTATGTAAATATAATAACAAGTTATTAGAACCTTGTAAGTTTATTCTATTGTCAATGAAAATTTTTTTTTTTAGAAATGGGTTCTCGATTTATTTATTTACACAAAAAATGTAATTCGAATTTATGATTTCCTATTTAGTTTAAACGAAATGATAAACCTTTTAGTGATATATAAATGTCGTTTTCTTGACCCGTGTATATGACTTAGAAAATGATTTTCACTCCTTCGCCTTCTTATCTTGTCGGCCGGCATGACACTTTCCGTGACCGCGTCTCCTGAGATATTTACTTTCCTTCATATGTGTATAATTTTCTCATTAAATGTTGACACCTTCAAAAACGCCGTTCGTCTACCAAAAGAACTATGGTCGTCCCACGTTGTACACGTTAAATACGCCTACGGGTAACGCTTTGTTTAGCTTATCAAGATCTCGTTGCCGCCATGGTCGCATGCCTCTAGCCGGACAGCACACGTGATGCCCGTTATTTACTTTGGGGTTGGCCCAAAAGTAATGTTTGTATAATTTTATTACATAACATTGCCAATGTTTGCCCAACGCAGTTTGTGACCAACACCTGAATATCGACCGGCCATAAAGTCGACGGCGCAAATATTACAATTCTGGCTTATAAATTCACTCTAAACAATAATTTTTATACTAGCCGTGAGATTTTGATGTGAAGTTTTTTGATAGTTCATTGTGTAACTTCAGTTATGTGTCGATTCGCCTTTGAAAAATTCCCTTTTATTTATAAATTATCACAATACTATTTGGACGTATTTATTAACTACAAGTAGCCGTTAAGAAGTCTCAAAAAAAATAATTATCCTTCGGTTCTGTACCGCGCAACGTAGGCACTCTGATGGTTTCACTCGTCCGACCGAATGACCGAAGGTTATTTGAAATTTGTTGATTTTATGTTATTTAAACACATTATTTTATATTAATAATACGTATTTATTTAATTATTATTATTTTACTACTTTAAATAGGAAATATTTTGTTTTTAACCATAGTAACCACGGCCATCCTTAGGGTTGGAATTTTTGAAAAGTGTTATACCAGTTATATTTGCGGGAGTGTACTCAACAACTTCCCAAAGTTTCATGGCGATCGGATGAATGGTGTACAAATGCATAAAGGACAGACAAACATACAAACATTCATTTATATATATATATATAGAGAGATAATTACAGGCCGTACAGTCTCGATACGTATGTCATAGTTCTTACTAGTATTTTTTATTACTTACTTCATATTCAAACATTCTAGAAATTTCCTATAATATTCTTAATGGTAGTACTTAGTAGAATAAAATAAAATATATTTGGGCTATCTTTCAAAATCTAAATTATATTTCCAATAAACAGTTATATTTTATCGTGAAAAAATATCGGATCGTTCTTTTCGAAAGCGTAGTACCTAAAACAACAGACAAATACTAATGCGCATTAAAGAGTTCTAGGGATTTAATTTAAATAAAAAAACTTCACAGTGCCGATTTCATCGTATGTATGCTTAGTGGATAGCAAAAAAAAAAAAAATCGTGACTTGTAAAATAAATTGCCGGAGCGCACTCTTTGCATTGGAGGTAATTATTAGGATTGTGTACTGTGTAGTGTTGTTTGAAATTGTACAGGTTATTTATCTTGGTGAAAACGGCTGTGTTAGCTAATAACATACACAATTTGATTTTATTTGTTCCGTACAAAAGTCCCAAGTACAATATTAATTAATATAGCAATGGAAAAATTACCTCAGTACGAGGTAACACTCGTGTTATTTTACACTATGTTTGTGATACTGAATATAATACCACCAATCGCACATTTAAACTATATAAATAACCAAATAATCGTGTGGAGAGCAGATATTATGAAATGATAACACACACTGAATCATGTCACTGTTCACGGGTCGTGGATTATCATTTAGTGCAGTGCGGTTTATTCATCAAAGTACTACTCGCATTATTTTCCAGAATCAGTAGGCACAGTCGTCGAGTGTGAAAATTATTATTTCACGCCCTGGTACCGCGTACCGTGTCTTGAGCCTTACACAGAAACATAACACATTTTTATTTCCAGTAGTAAACTATCTATAATCTTATTTACAGGTTGTTAAAAAAATAAAAATGACAAAAATTGTTATCGGGTTTTTTCGCCTTTTACTTTTAAAGGAACTAAAACAGTAAAATGCGACGGCACGAGGTAGGCTGTAAAAAATAACGGTTTGACAATAAAGTTAAAAACTGCTCGTGAGACTAGCGGTGGAACCGAATGATATAATTTGTACCATGCGTATGGCAGCGTGGCAATGGTTCTACTTTTATGTCGATGGCACGAAACCGAGTACGCATTAAAACTAGCGAGACAATTTTATTGATTCAATAAAAATGTATAAAACACACAAAAAGTCGTATAAACCGAAAAATCCATTATAGAAATTAGAAATATCAAACTTACGTGTGGAACACGTGTCCGAAAGTAACATACACATTTACATATGTTCTGATGGCATTGAGTATTTGTTGAGGTCTGTGAAATTCTATACATACTTAACACCATATAGCACACACAAGACTCTATTTTCTTTTTTTATAAAAAACAAATATTATTATTACAAATATTATGACCTGTTTGAAATTAATTTTTCAAGTTCAAGTGAAAGTTCAGTTTAGATATTTCGAGAAAGGATAGTCAATTGTTCCCGTTCACTACACTTTATAACCTTGAAATAAGACTATATAACTGACAGAAAATGTCTAGTATTATTGATTGTTTTTTTATATCGGTAGTCATAAAAATATGTAGGGTTAAAAGTAGTGAAGGCATTTTATATTCATTTTTGGTGGTAAAACATGTGTGTACACTTGAAGATTTCTTAAAAGTATGGTCAAGTTTTATTACTTCTCGGTAATGTAAAAAGCATTTTCTTTGTAGTTTATACCGGGTGATTCAATTAATGTAAAACAATAATTTTTTCGAAAAATTCAATCAACTTTTGAAACTTGATTAGGAAAATATACATTTAAATAACTTTTAAAAGAAGAATAATTAGATGAACATTTATATTGGCCAATAATCAGTTTTGAATAATTACTTTTAAAGATGTTAAAGTTTATAAGTCAAGACAGGGGGGTTGTTGGAGTGAAATATTATTTTTTTCTGCGCTCATTAATCAACTGCACTCCACGTCTCCACCTCTCTCATCTTATATATTATAATAAAACTGATTATCGACCTGTCGACATTTTCGGAATATTATTCTTAATTTAAAAAGTCAATCAAAATATATATTACCGATGTACGTTACCATTTAAGTTTCAAAAGTTGATAGCACTCTGGAAAATACTAAAAAGTTAAATACTAGAAAATTGTATAATATTGTACAATAACATGAATAAAAATGTTTTCAAAAATAAAAACTATAAAACTGTAATTATTTCCCAAGAAAATGAGTGTTTTACTTTAAGAGACCTCTACACTAGCATTTATTAAAGCGCATTGTATAGACAATTTTTCGCTAAACTTATCATTAAGCTAATATTAGGTCGTGGCACAATATAAAAAAAATTCAATTTTTAGTTTTTTTCAACTGAAATAATTAATTAACTGAAATAATTTTTTAATTGTGCCACAACTGATGCCTTGAAAATATTTTAAAGAATTAAAATATTTTTTCAAAACTTAAATCGGAGTATTTTTAGGAACAGTACGTTTGAATTAGAATGAGTTGTTTTCGACCAAAAATACGCCGGTTTAGAGAGAGGCCTCTTAAGTAGATCACCCTTTATGCCATAATTCAATCAGCTTAAAGGTTAAAATTAAATTTTCCCCTTACATTTTCCAAGTAATTTTATTATGTCGTTTACATTATATCCATCGTAGCCGTAAAAAAATATTAAATATGATAGATAGCTGTATGAAAAAAAGTAAATCACTTAGAATTAATGAATTAAAATTTAAAATATACATTAATTATTTAAAATAATTAATTTTACAAATAATAATTGATATTAATTAACTAACACAAAACAAATACTTTATATTAATAATATATTTGTTTATATTTTTTCTGTACTGTAATTCGTTTTAATTTAATACTTTTTTAATAACGCGGTGAGTTTGGACCAACATGATATCACGCGTTACTGCAATATTGAATTTCTAAGTTAATTGGATTGACTAGATGTGATATCGATAGTACT